ATGGACACAGTGAACATGAAGGGATGGACATGGTCAACAACAATAGTCACGGTGTAAATGAGGCATAACAAAATATTCTTTACAGCATTACAATACCCGCAGATACATTGCAGGATTGATGCATGCATTTGTGTTGTTTATGCCAAATTCTTACCCAACCATCCAAGTGTTGCAGGACAAATCAAAAGATGTCGCAGCAGAAATTGAGACATACCAACAATGGTTTTTAATTTTCTGTTGTCCAATTTTGGTGAGCACATGTAAGCTGTAGCCTTAGTTTTCTGCTGTTCATCTGCTGCTGTAGCACAGCCACTTTAAGAATTCACATGTTGCCTGTTCAGATATGCTCTTCTGGATATTTTGGTCATAACAAGATGTTGTTGGACTTAATGTTGTCTTCCTGTCAACTGAAAGCATTCTGGTCGTTCTCCTTTGACCGCTAGCATCAACAAGACTTTACTGCCCAAAGAAGTGCCACTTGCTGGATGCTTTCTCTCTTCCACACCACTCTCTGTAAACCCTAGAGATGGCCGTGCAGAAAAATACCAGTTTTTAAGCAGTTTCTGAAACAATTAGAGCAGCTCATTTGGTACCAACAACCATGCCGCATTCAAAGTCATCTAAATCCCCTTTTTCCCCATTTTGTTGTGCCCAGTTTGAAGGTTGTCTTGACCATGTCTAAATGCATTAAGTTGCTGCCATGCTGCATTATTGAACTGTTGAAGAGGTGTACCTAAAGAAGCAGTAAGCGTAAGTCTTAGAGGTTTAAAACCTTTGGTCCTGGAGGGAACGAGACTGGGAAATTGTTTATTTTGCTGCCAAACAAGATAATTTAGAATTATGATACACCAGAATAATATACTGTGTATATGGTTTGCAACAACTCTGCTTATTTGCAGCACCCAAGGGACTGCCTGTTCAACTTAACATAACATTAAGGAATTATTTGTTTGTTAAAAAAAAGAACTTATCGGCTTTACAACAAGGAGCAAACAGCCAACTAACCTACGTCTGCCTACAGTAATCTATCATTATAGAGTAACACGATAACTGAGTAGTTTTTGATAAGGCCACACACTATTTCTCTTACAGGCCTGTTTTCTTAGTGTTGAACTTCGACTACAACCACCGCAATGAGCTCTTGATCCTATCCCGATGCCTTATTTTTATCCCCCTTCAGTGTTTTTCTCAGTTGCCAAAAGGATTAAGAACCTATCTTTTAATACCGCTCGAACGTCAACTGTGCACGTCATCCTGCAGTCCTGAGGTGATTGACTTCCAGCACCAGCGTCTGGGAAACCACCGATTCATCCCTGTGAGGAGATGTTTGCATTTTATATTAACCACAGTGGGTAACGCGTTAAGCAACTAAATCATGCAGCGGTTTTGGACTATTTAGTTTTATGAGGTGTGAGACCTTTGCTGTTCCGTTCACACTGAGCTCACTGCGAAGAGATGGAAGATCGCACCAAACTGTGATCTATGATCAACACCATCACGCTACTGTACAAATGAAAAAGTTAATAAAAGTATGATGTCATGTGTTAAATGGGACTGCTGCTAGCCTGCCCTCACCCTGCTAGTGATTAGCTCTCTACCCAAGCAAAGTGATGCCTGCTATTAAACTCCTGGGACAAAACACAAGTTGCTCGCTAAGGACAAATTGCACAACTGATCCGATACATAGTGAAGCCCTGCATAAGTAACCAAAGAAGACAGGGAACGCCTATAGACTGGGGCGAGATTACCCGCCTGATTCTGAAGCCATTCATTATATGGAAACCTCTCTCTGCATAAACAATGGTTTAGAACTAAGAACCATAAACAGAGAATTTAGGCAATAAGCAGTTTTTATCTATGGATTTGACATTTTGCAGCCCACATATACTCCGTTAGTTCTTGTTAAGAAAGCTAATTTCCTACGAAAGTTTGATTCTCATGAACTGCTTGTTCTAGGAAAGAGGTTATCATCAGCCATCAGACTTTTTTTCATTCACAAGTGAAGGCAAATAAGCAAAGAAAGGAAATCAAATAGTCAGCAAACGGTGCATGATTGAGAGCTCTATGACAAAACCAAAAACAGGGATAATGCATCAGTCAGACATTTCCCTCTGCCACGTCACGGCATTCCTCACTCAAGTCATCTCTGCATTACAAGCTAAGGGTGGAAACAGGTTATTGTGGTCATTCAAACAGAAAGGAAAAGTCTGGGATCTTATCAGAGTATGAGATCTTTATATAACTGTACTGCCCTCCGAGCGGTCTCATAAGGGAGCAGCAGAAAATATTCAATAGCATTGTGTCGCTGAGTCACTGGTGAAAAGCATTTATGTAATGAGAATCCCCCTTTAAACGATGCCATAGGCAACAAAAAGAGGAGACAAAGGACATCTTTGAAAATTCTGACAAAAGACAGTCTGTCTCTCTAACACATTTACCTAATGAAGGCATAAATAAAGCTTACCCCGATTCTTAAATGTTCACATCTTTGTAAACATCCTTTTATTTCTCTGGGTGTCCAGGAGCTCCTGTAAGAATCACAACTTCTGCTATCACATCCCTGTTTGAGGATGACTGCCACCTGGGATTTATATAAAAGTGCATTTTTAAAATGACAAGTTAAGTTGGTCAGAGAGTGTGTCACTGAATCGGCAGCTCACCTCAACTTTACAGAGCTAGCATGCTGCAGCTCAGAGTTAAGCTATCTAGCATGCAACTCTTGCCAATCTCAAAGCATCATTAATAACCAGAAAAGTTCCAAAAGCCAAATTTGACTCCCCGATCAGAACAAAATGGACAATAAGTGCACTCAGTTACTTGCTATTGAACATAATTGAGCACATATCCGCTAAAGAAGCAGATCAAAAGTTGGCCGAGACTAAAAGCAGAGCTAAAATTGAGTATCTAATGTACATCTAGCAGATGAAACGAATCATAACACTATTGCCCCATAAGTGTGGAACTTGTAAATGAATGCTTGTATTGTGTCAGCGCTACTGTGATTTTAAGAAATGAATGGCAGTGAATGCCCCACCACCACCACCAGAGAGAATACGAACTCAGGGGAAAGACTGGAACATGATCACATACCCTTGTGCCCTATCAAGTCCTGACTGGGCCTATTTGTTACAGTGGCTCTGAGAGGGGTTTTTTGCGTTTCCCAGGTCATGGTTGAACTTCTCATATTTATGTTTGTCAAACTGAAGGCTGGCAGTCTAATTTGCTGGTATGTGTTTTCATTAGGTCTCTGGGGCCGAGTAAAGCTCCTTCGCTAACGTGGTTCCTCTGAACTTTGACCCTGGCTTTAATGGGAAGCCTGGCACAGAAGGTGGGGTTAAAGGGGGGTCAAGACTTCAGTAGGTCCACTTAGAGTTAAGGTAACAATTTGAGGAGGCATAACATGTTATGTAACCCTGTCGCTACACACTAATGACTCGGCAGAGCCTGAGGAATGTGGTCTTTCAATAGGTGTCTTTTACATCAGTTTCTGTTTGTGGAAACAAAATTAGCTTTGGTATGGTAAGATTGGACAAATCCTGCTCTGTGTGCTAGATAAGAGCTATGTAGGGCATGTGACCCACCACTGGAAAAGTAATCAGCCACAGGCCATAAAACCAGTACAGAAAAACGTTCATACTGTCATTTTTTTTTTAACTCTGTCGCTGATATTCCCTCAAGGCAGAGCAGCTATTAATTTCTTCACTGAAACATTAGAAATGTAGGCTGGTAGGAGTCTTTCAAGGACTTTTAGAGAGGACAAAGCACTGACAAAATTGCTTTCATCATTTATTTTATCAATAGCTTTTTTAATACGTAGGTCCTATATTTGCATATCTAAAATCTAAAATAATAACCAAAATATGAATTGATTGTATAAGTAATGGTACCATCAAACTCCCATGGTTATGAAGTCTTACCATCTACTGGAAAGAACACCAATCGCTTTGATAAAAGCAAACACCTCACAGTGTTTGATATCATGCTTTTATTTCACGTAGTAGAAACTGAGACCAGAAACACAAAATCCACTACTAGTTCTACTAGTATCAGATGGAGAAGTTGGTTGTTTTTTGTTTTTTTTTATCTGTGCGCCGTTTTGTTTACTTATGATTGGCATAGACCTTGACCTTTAAAAGCTATATATGGAAAACTTGCAGGATGCACGCACATTAAAATTAGTGGACTTTCCAACTTTCGGTTGTGCCACATGACCTGATGTGTTATCTAATGAGATGCTTTGAATTCTTGTTGGATGACATAAAGGTTCAATGACCAGACAACGGGGGGGGGAGAATGCGGAAGGCTCTCAAACCCTCAGGGTAGCATCATGTTCATGACTGAGCTTAAATGTGACAACAGTCAATCTCACCTGTTCCACAGCCAAGCCCAGAGCAAGTATCGGGAAAACAAATACCAACGATATCAAGCATACTTTAAATATTTTTGAGCGTGAGAGTTTTTGTGTATGTTTGTAGTTTTAAACTATTTGGCTTGTTGTACCTATTGTTTGCTCTGGGAGTCCGTTTTGGAAGTTTTAATAGAAGTAAGTGGTTTGTAAACACCTAGGTTTATGTCTTATTAATTTGCCCTTGTGTACTTGGACGCTTATCTTTCTTTTAGAGTTTACCTTTATTTTAAGTCTAAAGCTGGTATGGTATCCTACGATTGACAGACTCATCTAAATGGCCTTATGTGGGGATATAAAATAGGTTTCTGTTTATATGTTTATTTTTCCTTATACTCGTGTATTTTACAACAGGCTACCGTTTAACCGAGTGATTGTTATCAGCTAAAGTTATACTTATACCAATCAAAGCAAAACTAATGCTATAAGTGTCTATTTATACGTACCTGCCGTGTTAAGATCGGGTCACTCACTACCGCATACCAACCAGCTGGCTTGCACCTTGAGAAGTCCTGCTCTGCAAATTCATTGGCCTCTGCTGCTTAGCGTCAGCGCAGGGGGCTGGGCTCTGATGAGGACTTTGCTGTCAGGAATGCATAGTAGCACTAAAACCCCACTGACTGTGTCGCGCTGCTGCAGACATCACCTTTATGTTTGGGACGCACTTAAGCTGGATTACATACCGGTGGTTTCGAACAGCTTCTGTAGCCTCTAACTGACCTTTTTTATTTAATAATTAATATTATGCGAGTTTTTACTTGAGCTTACAAGAAAGTCGTCTCCTTTTTTGTATTTATTTGGCGAGAAAGAACTGTTTCATTACACGGCACGACTTCAATGCCACCTTCAACAACCATGAACAAAAGCGGAATGGTTACAAAAATCAACACCAGGATAAGGACTGACCCGTTCGCTGGCAGCTACGAGCTGGTGGGCAAAGAACTGGGCAGGTAAGTTTGTTTGTTGCCTGAAGGTTTTCGTTTTTTTTCCTCCAAGCAGTCATTGACAAAAATCCTAATACCTTCGTGCGTTGGCTGGACGTTGCAACAATGTCTGAACAGATTTAGGCAAATCGCTTAATCATATTAGAGTTACTCTCTGCACGTGTTACTGGAAAGCCTGCTAATTGAATATTTCCAATTGCGCTTTCCATCTGCTGGCGCGGAGCAGCGCTTTGGCACACGCAACGCGTAATGTTAATGCGCTTCTGTGAGTCCTGGCTGGAAGTTGCTAAATAGTTTTGAGACTCTGAAACATTTTTTAATTCTAAACAGTGACAATAACGAGTTGTGTGGAAATGCATGGACTGTTCTTATACATTATCTTTGCGATTTAAGGAAGAAAGTTTTCGACTTGCTTAATATTTCTGCTGAGGTCCCGCGTGCACGATCCATTATATCCTGGTGTAAGTGGTACTGAAAATGAAAAACCTCAAATGTCAAGAGTGCTTAAGAATGGACTTGGAGTAATCGTTCTGAATGCGCGGCGATCTACACTGACATCAAGAAACATACGTGCAACAACTAATGATCAAACATGCGAAAACACAAAGCAAGACTTTCTAATCCTGGCCTATATAGTTCATTCTTGCTGCTTTCTTGACTATTTTCCTGTTTCATGTACCTGCTTTCCCACAAGTTAAATATCCTGTCTACCAACAGTGCCTTTTTTTTTTGTTTTGCTCTGGCTTCCTCTTTCTTTAGCCACATATATATTTATGTCTCCCAGTTGCTGGTTTGTGGATGCCAGCTGAAATTCCAGATTCCCGCTGTATTTAACTGGGGATTCCCCAATGTGCCAAATTACAATGACTTTCTCTAGTAAGCACTGCAGCATGAATAAAGAAGATGAGCTGTGTTTCGCTCCTTGGGTTTCACTCAATTCAGCAGCTGGTTGCACACCCCTAACCCTAACTTCAGGTTTGTTCTTTTGCACATGCTCAGTAATGTCCTAGTAAGTAGCCAATTACCTTTTTATAAGACACCCTGGGACATGAGGGAGAGTAGCATGACCTGTCGTGCTGGCTTTAGGCTACCAGTGTAGTCTACAGCATCCTATAAACTTTTTTCTTTCCCTTCACTACCATAGATCAACTTTCCCCCCCCCGTTTTTTTTTTTTGTTTTTTTTTTTTTTTACTCCCTTTCCCATGACTTCAGATCAACAACATCCTGAGATCAGGCTTCATAATCACATTAGGTGCAGGAATGTACGTAAGTGCCGCATGGCAGGAGATTAGCTTTATTGTACATTTGAATGCCGAACATTTCAACTGTAAATACCAGGCAATAATTCAGCGTTTGCAGAAAAAAAAAATGCCTCCTGACCCTTTTTTTAAAGCCTTCTCATTATCACGCTCTGCATGGTTTCCTGCAGAAATGGCACAAAATATGTTGTGGGCAACCTGAAAGCAGGAAGAGGAACTCAGGTTGTGTGTCAGACTGTCTGTGAAAAAGGCAAATAAGAGCTGTCATTTTTCATTACGCTTCAGACATGAGTCAGTGAGCCTCTGGGGAAGACAAAATGCAAACTGCACAGGAAACCAGTTTCTTAATCAAATTATCGCCATCTTGCGCAAAGGAATGTTTTGTGTCACAGTAAATTTGGTGATTGATAGCAGATGAGTTTCAGACAGGTTCCTGAAGAGAACTGTTTGAACTATATAACCGCAATTGCTGATTATTTGAGAAAGCACTTCTCATCATTAGCCAGAGTATGTTAAGACCTTTCTGTGTTAACAGTGAGATGTTGGTATTTTTAATCCAAAAAAGCAAAAATGTATTTTTTAAAATGTTAAATTATAGCGTGATATTTTTTTCTTTCTTTCTTTCTTTCTTTCTTTTTTTTTTTTTTTAAATAACAAAAATATTCTTTTCATCTTCCTGGTGAACATGGCCGGCTACAAGATGGCCTTGTTTAGTAACCTCTGACCTGTTGTCAGCCTTTGAACGGACCCCCCCGGGCTGCCCTTTTCAATAACCACTAGTCATTTCTTTTCACTCTAATATGTAGCACCCAGCCCACAGCTCTGAACTTGGCTAATTAAGGATGAAAAGCCCCTGATGGCTTTTGCCTTTTCAGTCTGAACAATGACTCGTCACTACACTGCGAGACTGGGAAATGGGGTGGCAGCCAGCACACAACCAGACTCCATCCAGAACAGTAGCTGTTTTTTGGTCAGCAGCACAGTCAGCTTTAAGCAATACTGTGTGGGAGGAAAAATAGCTTCATTTATTTAGTTATCTTCTAGCATATTTTGCTCACTTTCCCCAAGCCTTGTGTGTTGTGTCTAAAGTGTAGCTTAAGAAAACACTGAGATGTTAGTTAGGTGTAGATGTTAAGATTACAGTGACTGTCTTCATGTTGCTTGGGTTCTAACTCGACTGTCAAACTGTGACATCCCCCCCAGCGTGTGGCCTGCTCAGTCACATTCATGTGGGTGGTCTTGGTCTCAGGACTGCTGTGTTTAGCTGACTGGTCAGCTTTTGTACAACTGTCAATGCAGAAGCAGTCTCTGGCTGAGGGTCTGGGTGGAGGTGTCAACACAATTCCATTTGTCCCTGCTGCTGTCAGCTGTGAAGAAAGGGAAGTGGTGCACAAGGCCTCATTTTCAGCCTGGGAGAGACGGCTGGTGATTGTGTTGGTTTGACCCAAATGCAGTTCTGAATACATCGGACATCCTGCCCTCACCCACAGCTGACCCTTAGCACCTTTTATGACTCTATTAATGTACATTCGGGGGGGGAGTCAATGTTTATTAAAATTAAACGTAGATAGTCTTAATGCTGTGTTTTACCAGTGACATTATGCAACCAAGCTGTCACATCTCTTTGTTTTTGCTTGACCTACAAAGTCGCAATACCCTTATCAGAGCCCTGCCCTCTATTCTGCCGCTCTTGCCAAAAGTGTCAGCCTTATCTGCTCTCCTTCAGACCCTCCTGAAGGCTAGAGGAACAGGAGAAAGAAGGGGGATCTCTCAACGAATGCCTCCTTTGCACAGCATATCAGTGGTGAATAACGGTCTAAATTTTTCAAATGATGCCACATAAGCACCTTATCTCTGGACTTTTCCATAACCGCACCCTCGCTGTTGCACTTGTAGCCAATTGGGTTGCCTTTCCAAAATGCCTCATGTCTTCTTAACAGTCAAATATTGAGTGGATTGTATGCATTTTAAGTGACCTACATTTAACCCAGTAACAATTTGAAAAGGAAATGGACCCATGTCTAAACAAATTTAAAAAAAAAATAAAATAAAATAAAAAAACACAGGAAGGTGGTTGTGATTTTTCTTCATGGCTAAACACTCTGTTGCTCTTTTTGTTGTTGTTGTTTCCCAGGGGAAAGTTTGCAGTTGTGAAGAAGTGCATTGAGAAGGCGACAGGGAAGCAGTATGCTGCCAAGTTCCTGCGAAAGCGACGGAAGGGCCAAGACTGCCGCATGGACATCTTAAATGAGATTGCTGTGCTGGAGCTGGCCAAGGCAAACCCCTTTGTGGTGACGCTGCATGAAGTCTATGAAACCAGCACTGAGATCATTCTCGTTCTTGAGTGGTAAGTCACTAATGTTCTACATCACAAATATTCAACTCTCTTTCCCAAACTAGCAGTGGTTTGGATAGCTAATGGCATCATACAGCAGTAATCTAAATAATTCTTCCTGAATCTAAGTGTTTGAGCCATAGCAGAGAACTTGAGGGGGGTGATTAGGTCACCAGGTATTGGTGAAGAGAAAGGTGGGGTAGGCTCTGCGCAGGTTTCCCAGGTGTACCTTACAAATAATTCTTTTTCATAAGCACAGGTTTAGTTGGAAAAGCCTCAAATCTTACATACGTCATGCAACATCCTGTGTTTTGCAAGATAAGAACGTCAGAGCTTGGTGCTTCTGTGTGAATAATTAGATTTTATGCAGTATGGTCGGCTGATTTGCAAGAATAATAAAAAAAAAAAGGAAGTATTTCCTGGCATAGTTCTAGGCAAGTTGCTAGTTCTTAAAAAAAAAAAAAAAAAAACACCCACGTGTGAAATGCACAGGCTTGCACTAGTTTAACATGGTCTCTACCTTAAATGGAAATTCTCTGTGTCTGTGGTTAGTCGCTCGTCTCGCTGTAGCGTGAATACCTCAGTTTCTTGTTACGCTTACTGATTGTGATGAAGTGTCACTTTAAATGCCACAGTAAAACTGCAGCATGCTTACTGTGTAAAAATGACAACATTAAGCTATGGATTACTCATTTAGATGCTACCGCTTGAATCTGGTTAAGGCAGTGATGACTCTCAAACATGCATGTGAACACAGCAGGTGGTTCACACTGCTGATTCAGTTCCCTAACAAGGTCAATTCAGCATTTGGCTTTTAATACTGTGGTTCAGATTTAAAAATCTTTAGGTATCTAGCGAGTGTCATCAAACTCCTTTCATGAAACACTTTAATTAGGATTTAGAAAGATCCCTTAGCATCTTAACCACCTCACTTCCCTCATTACACAAAGGAGTTTGTCCTTGAATCATGTTCCAGGGACCCTGTTCCACAACTGCTCACTTCTCAGGCAGAAATCCTTCTCCTGCTCAGGATCCACTCCAGTTATTCCCTTCCCAGACATGGAATGCTTCTGTAGAACAAAAGCTTCTCTATGGGGAAGGCTATGTTTGACCTCTTGACTAAAGTGCGAAAGGGGAAGTAGCACCATAGTTCACCCCTGCATGCCTGCAGAGAAAACATAGCAGGAGGTCAGTCTACAGTGGCCCACATTTCCTCTTCAGCCGCCAAAGAAGTTACGCTGGGAGTTGTTGGTGCGCTGGGATTTGAAGCAGAGTATGCATGCACGACATCTTAGCTCTGACAAAGCTTCTTTTTTTTTTTCTTTTTTTTTTTTTTTTTTAAATGTCAGTTATTTTCTGCTGCATGTCCTAAAAGCTACAGAAGAACTAACAGCAAGCGAATGAAAAACTGCATTCACAAACCGTCTGACCTCGGCATGAGTTTCAAGAATTGCAAACCATTTTCCATTTCCTGTGGGTTTAAATGTAAGCAGCAAGCAAAGCGCAGCTCCCAAAAGTAGCACACAGCCATGCCGGTAAAATGTCGTGTGCACACACACTTTTTGTAGCCACAACCACTTCCTTGTCAATGTTAGAGAAATGAAGTCGAAGTCTAATCATCTTCAAAAATACAGCTCCAGCATGCGTCAGTACCAAAGAAACCCCCAGGGTAATGACTAGTTTTAGACATGATCACTTTCATGAAAACCAAATCGCCTCTAAGTTCTTTTTGTGGAGAGTAACTTGAGGTAATCAGTGAGATAGGTTATCCATGGGGGGGGGGCAAAGTTCTTCCTAAATGCTATGCAACATAACCCAGGCTGTACTGGACTTTAACTGAAACATGCTCTAGGTGACAGAGGGCTATCATGTAGTAATGAGCCAAAAAGAATGATTACTAATCAAACAGAGGATTGACTTGTTTTGCCCCTTTTGCTTTCTTATCTATGCATTCAGAGTTTGGGTGGGAGTCAGCTGTTCTTAACTCTTGTCTTAAACCAATTATTTAGCTCAAACAGTGTGGTTGTGATAGGTTTGTTCTTTTGGACTGTTGTAGGGAGGATGTCTGCCTGCATTCTAAAGTAGGGAATGCATCAACTTCCAAAGCACAGCAACAATATTCAGACTTCAGGGAATTAGCTTGTCATTCTTGGCCACAATATATGCAAATGGTCTTTATTAGGATTTGAAAGCAAGGATCATTAAAGTATCCATCAGACTAACTTATTCCTTCAGTTCCTTCACCCACATGAAGGCATCAATAGCCAGCTTGCATTCATTTGGTTTACATGTGCAGATCAGCGTAAACCTATTGAGCCACTGCTCTTAAGTACTCTGGGGGTCATCAGCTGGGATTGACTGTGTTTACAGCAAGCAAGTATTTATTGCTAAGAGTTTAAAAAAAGAATTAGGTCTGAGAGAGGTAGAGTGCCCAAACCCAAAACAAAATGCTTTCTATTTTTACTGCTCAGGTTATTGAAGTTGGCAGGTTGAGAAGGCTAACGGGGATTTTAAGGTGCTGCTTGTATAACAGTCATGCCCAGGACCTAACGGGGACTGGAGGGTGCAGCTTATGTAACATTTGTGCCCAGGGCTGGAACAAAAAAAAATTTCCTCTGAAGATAAAAAGCATGTCTGCTTTCTAAATCCCCCACATATGGTTGCAGTGTTTTTTGGAGGTCTGTCAGCTTCGTGCATTGCTAGAACTGACGGAGCACCTAACATAAATCCACCATGTCTCCACATTACTTAACGTTGTTATACAAGCACAGCAGGGCTATGCAGGAATCTTACTATTACTCAAAAATGAGCAAGCAGTTTGTTTCGAGTAAAGGAGTAGAAAACGATGCATGCTGGGGCTCATACAGAGCGGGTACAAACTTCACACTTCGCTGCTTCTTTCTTTCTGTTAAAATATTTTTAAAAAGTGGTTAGGTGGCGGGTGTTTTTATTTTTTGTCTATTTCCTTCCCCTGTTTTAGTGAATTTATTTCAGTATATGAGGTTGTGAAGGAGCTTATCTGAAGCTGCTGATATGACCATTCTTATCTCTGCAATATTCCTGACAAGAGGAAAGTACTCACACAGGCGGGGTACCTAACACTGTACTGATTTATGTTGGACTCGCTTGCAGTGTGTAGATGTGGATGAACTTTGTTTCTCTAACACAAATGAGGGGGAAATGGTTATATAATTGTAAAGAAAGCAGTAATGGCTTTATATTTTTTCCCTTTTTGTGCGATAGGTTGATAATTTGCATTGCCAACTTATGTGACTGAAACTGAGTGGAAGGGTGTGTTTGTAACTTTCGAGGAGCAATTTATTATTACAAGTGCAAATGAAAGTGAGCCAAGCTAAACTTCACTGGGTGGTTATCCACTCAAAGTTATGTTCTTCTCATCTTATCCTTAGTTTCTTTTTATTCAGTTTTCCTTCCTGTGTTTTTCTTCCAGTGCCGCCGGTGGCGAAATCTTCAACCAGTGTGTTGCGGACAACGACGAAGCCTTTACAGAGAAAGATGTGATACGACTGGCCAGGCAGATCCTGAATGGGGTGGCCTTTCTGCATCGGAATAATGTGGTGCATCTGGATCTGAAGGTAAATGCACAAGAAATGTTAATGACAAATATAGGACGGTGCGTTCTCTCAAGAGTCAGAATGGGGAAGATATTATTTCTCTTATGCAACCACAGCTCATTCAGCGTGCCACGACTTTGTTCCCGTGAGGAATCACTTTATAAAAGCATCTGACCTAACTATCATGTTTTCTTTGATGTGTCTTGAGGTAACAAAGCAGCCGTCACTGAGATTTTCTTTTCTTTCTTGATGCGTCGGGCTTCTGGTTACACATTACACAATGTGTTCTAGATAAAATTATCCGTTGAGATGCACTAAATTGTTTTAGAAGGGCTTTCAAATGTTTGAGATCTTGTGTCAAACTGTTTTCAAAAGAGAAATCATTCATTATCGAAGCATTCCTGTGGTTCCTCAGGCTTTGCTGGCTCAAGTCTGATATTTGGATTTCTCTTTCTTGTATGTATCCCATTGTTCCAGCTAAATCTGGCATTAGGCCAGCCTGGCTCGGATTTAGGTTGTATGTACACTACAGTATTTACATAGACTAACCATAGAGCCATTTAAGTGTTTGGCAGAAATGCCTTTACCTCTCTTCAGAATTGTCTGATAGGCTTATTGGATGATCTGGGCTCAAAGGCCCAGTTAGCAAGTTGACTGATGACCTAGACCCCTAATCCTGTCAGGATCAGTTTTCCCAAATGCTTTGACTCGTAGATGCGTAATTAATTACCTCAGGCTGCTCAAATAATCAGTCTTTATCTCCTTATGTAACCTTTGCCTAATCCGCATGTGTGCCCTCTCCAGCCTCAGAACGTCTTGCTGACCAGTGCCACACCTCTAGGGGACATTCGTATTGTGGACTTTGGCTTGTCTAGACGAATGGACAACATCACAGAAGTCAGGGAGATCCTGGGTACCCCAGAGTATGTGGGTAAGTCCTGCTTTCAGCTACAAATTACCCAAAACTACATGTCTCTTTTTCTTTTTTTTAAAATGTGAGCACATTTTAAGGTGACTAACTTTGGTCATGTGTTTCTGTTGCAGCCCCAGAGATCCTGAACTATGAACCCATTAGCACTTCTACAGATATGTGGTAAGTGTGCTACTTTAGATAGTATTTCCACTCATGTTAGAGGACGCCACACACAGCTAATTTAATCTAGATAAATATTCAAGACAATGACATCACCTCCCTAACGTGCAAAAGACAATTTTGTGTCTAGACCTTTGACCACAAGACAAACCTTGCTACATACTTGCATTTAATTGGCTCATCATAGAATAGTGGAAGCCAGCCAGATGTGTGGGGCTTTGCAATACACTGTGTAACCATAAACGACAATGACTTGCCCCATAAACACCTTCTCCTTTCTCCTTCCTCTTTACCAGGAGTATTGGGGTTCTGACTTATGTCATGCTCACGGGCGAGTCTCCTTTTCTGGGTGCTGACAAACAGGAGACATTCCTCAACATCTCTCAAGTCAACATAGACTATTCACCGGATACATTCGAGGGCATCTCCTCGCTGGCTGTTGACTTCATCAAATCTTTGTTGGTTAAAAACCCAAGGTGAGGCTCTTTTTAAACAGTAAAGGTGAAGATGAATAGATGTTATGGCTTAATGTGGAGAGTTTCCATCAGCATCACTTTGAGCAGATTAACACACCAAGGATGTGAGTCAGGTTCACACCGGCACGAAAGCACACGTCGGCACACGTCTAAATGAGCGTTTGTGGTAACAAGATTTGCGTCACTTGGGCGAGAAGTCGTTTCCTTTCTTGCAAATGCTGGTTGTGAATTTTACTCATTTAGCAAACTTTTAGTTCAGCATTTTTGGATTGACGTTAGATCAAACACTGATGCACGTCTTACCTTTTCCCTGCATTACCATTTCGTTAAATTCAGCGGAACCTCTCAAAGATCTTTAAAAAAGATACCTTAATGTGTTTAGAAAAGCATCAGCAGATGCAGACACACAATCTCCAGTCAGTATCATTTAATTGCAGGAGTACAGTGGCAGCACTGGAAAAAGGCAGATATTTCACCGTCTGAGTAATCGGTTAGAGACGGAGGGGAAAAAAATCTTGACAGCAAATGGCGTCGTCTTTGTGGCTTTTCGTGCCCAATGTTGAAAAGCCAACTTGTAAGAAAATGTCTTGAGTGAATCTGAAGATCTAGGCAATCAATCTGTTATGTAATGTCTCTGGGATTTTTCCACTTATGCACAGTGTTATTGTGTTTGTGTATACAGGAAGAGGGCCACAGCAGAGGAATGTCTCAATCACCCCTGGCTGAACTCCTGTCCTCACTCCCACCCACACCTCCACAACAGGTCGCCGTCCTCTTTGGATGAGCCGGAGACGAGTCAGTCCGAATCGGAACCAGAGAGTCCAGCTCCGTCCCCTGAGCTAGACGTGATTGGATCATTTCTCAGGTGCCCAGGCCAAGGTGAGCTGAAGGCGGGCCGTGGCGCCTTCTCTTTCAGTGAGCCCCCTTTCTGCACAAGACCCGAAATCCAGCAGGAGCTCATTTGCTGACTGATGTTTCACAGTTGGAAAGGGACTCAGTAAATTGAAACTCCATGGAGCAGAACCTGAAAACCTTTAAGCCTTGAGGTGCTTGGTTTTGATCGGAACCAGGACCGTGTTTGAGTGGCTGCAGTTTGCCCGCCTGCTCCTACTGCTGCGACGTCTGTGAGCTTGATACCTCTGCCTGCGCCTGTGTGTGTCACTGTGTATATGTTAAATAATACACGCTACTCAGTGCTAGTTAGAATGATTGTACAGGAGGAATATGACAGGGCTTGAAGATGCAGGACAAAGGAGTGGGAGAAAACAAGGACTTTGTTGAGGACTGCACTGCTGCCTTATGTGATAAATCTGAACTTGGCTCAGCTGAACACTGGCTAGTTCACCCCTGCACACATACTGCTTTATCCCCAATTAGCCTTCGGACGGGGTTTCAGAGGAGAGATGGCCTCCCACTTCTTTGGATGACTTCACTCAGTGTGTGCTCTCATCTAAACAAGTTACGTTTCAGTGACCCAGACAGACCTTCTGTGACGAGTTGAAGAAAGTAAAGCATTCTGACAGGTGGATCTACTTAAGAAAAAAGAATGGAAAGCAATGAGCAGCGCCCTATGCGAAAGCCAGACGTTAACTGTATTGTTTATTAATGTGTCTTGTACCATTTTAGCCCCTCAAACGGTCAAAGCCACATCGATGCCTGAGGTTAAGATGGATATGGTAGCATTGTTATTATTGAGGACAATCATGAGCACTTTTATTTTGTTATTGGACTTTTGTGTAAAACCAAAGGCTCATCAAGCACAGTTAGGTGTCACACGATGTACTGTACATATTAACCAGTCTGCAACACCCTCTGTTTTTGTCACGTGACCTGTTTTTTTTCCTTTTTCATTAAGTGCCACTCTTTTAACCTCACTTCTGTTAATGTTACAGTTGAAATTTTTACTTTTTTTTTTTTTTTTTTTTTTTTTTTTTTGTCGGTTTTGTTGACCTTTGCACAAGTTGCACATTTTGGTTTTTGTTTTGCTGCAAGGTTGCCATTAGATATCATGCTCGACAAATTTTGTGACATCAGCCTTGGAAAGAGGGAATCGCAGGGGCTGGATTTTTTTTTTTTTTTTTTTTTTTTTTTTAAATATGGAACAGAATAAAATATAATGTCACAGAAAACTGAAGCCCAAGATGTCTTTGAATATGTGATGTTTGCCTTTAGATGCTCGGGAGCAGAGAATTGACATTTTCTCAAAAGAAAGTACTGAAAATGTATATTGAGTTTGTAATATTTTTTTTTTTGTTGTCGTTTTGTTTTATCATTGTATAGATGTTAATGTCATTATATTGTATTTGGTAACTTTGTTAACTTTTATGTATTACTGTGTTTCGCCTCTCGAATTTCAGGAAGGTTTGCACTTGTCCTTGTGGACGTTATGTTAAAATAAATAAATGTTGATGGCTTGCATTATGAAATTTAACAATCATGAGAAATACATTTGAATTTTGTATCAAAATATTGAGTCTGGTTGTGGTGAGTTTTTCCTCCTCCCTTTTCTTTATCGTAGCAGCAATAAGAGAATGCTTTCTGGAAAAACTAAAAAATGTAATAACATGTTTATGATGTAATTCAATGAGATCCAGTTAGTGGGCATGAGCTCTTCCGAGAAGGCTGACTAAAAATAAACATTCATGAATTCCAGACAATCGATCTTTATAAATCTATCTTTTCCTCTTAGAACCATCATCATGACGTCAAAGTTTTTACATTTTTCCAGTATCTTAGTAAAATGAGCGATGCTTTGATCTGTTGCTTGTTTTTTCTTTTTCCGCTATTCTACAAATGTTAGGATGCTAACACACTGAACTAAAATAAGAACGTCACAGTATGACGTCAGCATGTTACATACAGGTACTGGCACGGTGCCTGATTGTAGTTTAATGGCCGTTTCTTTTCTTCATTCCAGCTTTCAAATAAAACTGGGTTGGGTGGTGAGGGAAATCAATGCTTTCCAAACTGAAATTAAAGAACTGTTAAGCAAAAGGAAGGTCCACTAAAGCTGTTTTTGTCAGTCAATAGAATTTAAATTGCTAGTTATTTTTTTTTGTCTTGACATGAATCACTTGGATTTATTATGATACAGAGCTACATATCTAAACATAGATATGATATATTTGTGAAAAAGTTTAAATATCAAATATTTCATGACTATCTACACCAGGGGTGTCCAACTCCAGGCCTCGAGGGCCGGTGTCCTGCAGGTTTTAGATGTGTCCTTGATCCAGCACAGCTGATTTAAATGGCTAAATGACCTCATGTCTTGAAGTTCTCCACAGGCCTGGTAATGAACTAATCATTTGATTCAGGTGTGTTGACCCAGGGTGAGATCTAAAACCTGCAGGATACCCGCCCTTGAGGCCTGGAGTTGGACACCCCTGATATAGACACTATTAGCACGTCCTATGGATCTCTCTGCTTGTTTGCACTGTTGTTGCTTAGTTACAATCACTTGTATCTAACAATGCATACAAAACAATCCTACGTAGAACAGCAGTGACCAGCCTTTAACATTTGTGATTAAAAAATAAGGTATATTTTCTTCTTGATTCCCAGTTTGGGAACAGCACTCAGTCTTTGTGAGGCTATCATACTTTGTTATCATCCCATTTCGTATTTTGCATGCTGCTGCTGAACAACAGCCCGTTTCATGCTTTCTGTTGAGCTGCTGTCAGTAGTTCACCTGTGTGTCCTTAGAAAAGCATACCAACACAATTACATTAGCTAAGAGCAGATTTCCTCTGAAAGCATCTGTTTTTCTTCTCAATATGTCTTTCTGCATGCAGCATCATAAATTTACAAAAAAAGAAGCCCCCTCAGGCTAGTCTTCCTTAAATATCCTGCAGCCGCTGTGAACAGGAAATGCCAGGATTATGTAAAGAGGAACAGAGAGCAATCCGTTCCAGTGTAATATAGCTTCTTTCCCTTTTTTTTCTCACCCCTGTGATTGTTTACTTGTGTCAGTTCAAACAATATCCGTGCCTGCCAATATCCCGAATTCTTGCTTTAATGTCTTCTTCCTCTTGTTGTTGGCATTGAGCCAGTTCATCTCCATGGTCCTGGTCTGGTGGCTCTTGGCTGCATCTGCTGTTTCCCTTAAAGAAAATCCTTCTTCTACATGGAGCTGAGGAATGCCAGAAATGTCTCTAACTGGCCTGCTTTCAACATTGTCCTTCCAAAACTGTCTTTTATGCATCTCTTCCCTTTCATCTTCCTTATGAATTTGTTTCCATACCACAGCGCACACACATAAACACACGCACTTACTAGAAGTCACTGATTAAGTGGCTGTTTCCCAGAAAAAAATCAGGTTCAGTTCATGTGACTTTGATATTTGCGGTGACCATTAGGAGATGATTTAAGGCAGATGTGGAGACAGTTTGTACTGTCTTCTAACTTTGAGTGCACTCCAAAATCTTACCGTGTGGCAAACAAGAACTTAGTTCCTACAAATCCAAACAAATATGAAAAGCTGACCAAAGCTTACTATGGAATCCAGATAACCTGCTTTCAGCAGTCTCTGTGGACTGTCACGGTCTTGCTTAATGGTTTTAAATGATATCAGGCAGCAAATGTTGCTTTGAAACACCGAGTCTAAGCAAAATTCATTTATCTATCTTAAGTCAACCAGCCAAAAAAGATAACATTAAAATAACAAATACTGTTTTTGCTTGCATTATACAAACTTTGACTACACATGATTTTGTTGCCATTAAGCAGGGGTTTGATTTAATGGTAACCAGCTGCATATCCTTAAGACATGTCTGTCAGTGCCACCCACTGTCATATTTTTCCCTTGAGGTCTGCAAAAATCCAAGACTGGGATTTGCAAAACGTAAATGGAAAGCTGAAAATGTTGCATTCTACTGTAACGGTCCCAATAATCAGTTATATGAGAAAGAATTGTTGACAGCATGGTATTTTGACTGTGGCATTCCCATCCATCTGCAACTGACAGCTTAGGAACACATTACAAAACTGGCATTTGGGAGGTGGAGCAGGGAGCTGGAGGCGCTGGAGCCCGTCCCAGCTGTCATAGGGTGAGAGGCGGGTACCCCCTGGACTGATCACCAGTCCATTACAGGGCTAACATAGACGCCCACATCCACACCTGCAGCCAATTTAGAATCACTATTTGTTTATGTAAAACATTTTTCTCTGACATAGTCAAATATTTTAAGTTATCTGGATGGATGATGGCAGCATGCTGAGGAATATCCTAAAATAGCTTATCTAAAACAAGAGACAATTTGCTAACTTTTAAAGGAGTGCTGTTAATTTCCATACTTGCGCACAGAGCCAGGTACTAAAAATAGACACAGAATAGCAGAAAAGTAAAACAACAGCACTGCAGAGAACTACAAATGGGGGATTTTTGCAGGACTGAGCTACACAACAACGAGCCACAACAACCAGTGAAAGATGTGCGGTTGTGAACGACATTTCTGATCTTGTTGAAATGCTCAATATTTTGTTGGGAAAGTTTGTCTCTTGGAAGTCATGTGGATGTTACTTTGGCATATGCAGTAAACATTATTACAGGCCAAGCACTCCTATAGCAGGATACATACTGCAAAACACCAAACCACAAATACTGAGGATGGCTTTACGAACGCAACCAGGAACACAAGGTGTTGATCCAGTCTCCATACTCCTCTTAAAGAATCCACGTACAACGTTAGAGTTGAAAACACCACAGAGCCCCACTGTCCATATCTGTCCATGCAGGTCACACAGAAGTGTGTGGTTTTAATGTTGCGGCATTTTTTTCTGACTCTCTGAGTCTTGCTTGCACCACTAATATGGGTATTCTGAGTGTGCACATTATCCATCATGCAATTTCCTTAAATATGCTGTAAATGTGCAACAGAACCAACAAGTTTTGAACTGACATTGTCTGTCTTTTATTACAAAGCCTGTTTGGTACACAAGTCCATTTGTCCTGACTAATTACAGAGATTACAGCGACCAGTATTTATATATATTTAGATGTCATACTGCAAAGACTACAACCACAGTACAGTGCAGGACTTTGTTGCCTAGAGCTGCGTTTTCGCAAAGCATTCGCTCTTCTTGGTTTTACCAACAGATTTCCATTGAAAGCTAATTTTCTTGGCCAGCCCCTTAGGTGTACGTTTCCATCACAAGAAGAGGAGCGTCCCCTGCACCTCATGAGGCATTAAACTCTCTCAATCCCCCTGAAGTCCTTCTCTGGTTGTCTCTTTATGTCCCCTGGAAATGCCATGCTTTCTCTCTCACTGTCTCACTATCTCTAGATCTCTTTCAGTGAACCATTTTCTCAGAACACGTTATCCTACCACCTTACATAAGGGGGAAATTCCTTTATGCTTATGTTCCCGATTACTCTGCTATTATAGAAAGTTCAACACTGTCAAAAAAACACAAAACATAGGTAGGCTAGTGTGGCGGTGTGTATGTGTTTGAGCATAATCAAAGTATATATACAGGCTCAATTATTATACATACATTTATTTAAATATAATACTACAATGTCTTTTACCCTGACAAGGACAAGGCTTGTTAACTTGTTAGTGATCATGATCACTGCAGCTGGTAGTTTCTCTTTGCCAGCATAAAAAAGGATTTGTTTGATTTTCGTTGGACTGACCGATACTCAAAACGGTGGAAAAATCCAAGAAAGAATTATAGATTCATTTTTGAACAATAGCAAATTCAAACATCATGGTCAGACAAGAAAAGGATTCAGTGTTTTGGCCACTATGACAAGGGATGTGTTTGGAGGAGTAAAGGTGAACCTTTCAAACCTAAGAACACTGTAACAGCTGTCAAGCGTGGTGGTGGTAGCATCATCCCCTGGGGCTGTTTTGCACAAATGGTTAGTGCAATGAATAGTAAAATCTTCAACTTCTCCTTAATCAACAGGCAGATGGTTGAAACTT